GCTTATACACTTTCTTCTTAATAGAAGTTAGTACTAATAGATTTATAGCTAATACTACTATATTAGATAGTTTTATATTATTATTAATATTTATTAGTATATAACTATTACTATAAGTGTTATAAGTAAATATTATATAATATAGGCGTATTATAAGATAAATAATTTAAATATTAAATAAGTAACTACTAATTAATATAGAATATAAAAGATAGCTAAGTAATAGTATATTATCTAGTAAGAATAGATAAATTATTACCTTCTAGATAATAATTCTCTAGATCTACTTATACTTACACTAGATTAGGTTATATAATATTATCTAACTATCTAGAATATAGATTTCTAATAATTATAAGTATTAATTTATTACGCTAAGATAAAGTATATCTTAAGTAGATATAAGTAATCTATAATACCTAGTATAGACTTACTATAGTAGATAGTAGATATAATATAAGTATACGCTATAGTAATAATAATACTAAGACTAGTAATTAGTAAGTAGAAGTACTAGGTATTATATAGTAAGTCTATCTATAGTAAAATAGATATAGAAGTACTAATACTAAAGAGTAAGTAGAAAAATAATATATATAAACTTAGTATTTTTAATATACTATAAAATATTTATATAGCTTACTTAGAGTTATATATAAACTTTAACTTTTTATATTAGTATAACTTTAATAATAATATATAATAGTATTTAGAGTATAGTAAGTATTAAAAAAAAAAGTATATATAATTATAATACTACTATTAAAATCTAGAAATATATTTTAATAGTTAAGTATAAATAATTATAGCTATAAAGAATAAAGAAACGTAGTAGATAGCTAGTATAGACACTAGTAATTTATTAGTAAAAGTAAAGAATCTAACTTTAATCTTTTATAGAATAAAGTTAGTTTATATATAAGCTACTATAGGTATAGCTTAGAGTATAGTAGTAGATAGAATAATAGTAGAAAAAGTAAAAAACCTTTTAGCTTTAAACTTAAATAGCTTTTCTACTATAGTTAGAATATATAGTATCTAATTTTTATATTAATAAATAAGTACTTTATAGTTTATAAAGTTTTTTTAATAATTAGTCTATCTAGAATTTCTTCTAGTAGTAATAAGATCTAGCTAGCGTATATACTATACTCTAGTATACTTTTTTATAGAACTACTTATTAGTATAATAAAAATAGAGCCTAGATAGTAGATATTAATACTTTTAGATATATTAGATATATAGTATTATACTATATTATCTATATTAAATCTAGAAAATAACCTAGTATAATAGTATACTTTAAGTATTATTTTTTTAAACTAGTAGATCTTTATAAAATAGTTTATAAAGTTAAACTTACTTAGCTTATACTTAGTAATAACTATAGTAGTCTTAGTTATAGTAAATATAGAATATCTTATATATAGCTTAGAGATAATAAAAGCTTTTATAATTAATATACTTACTATATTAATAAGTAGATAGAATATATAAAAGATATAGAAGATAAAAAAGATAAAAGTATAGAATTTTACTTTTTATAACTATAGCTAAAGAGTTTAGTATAATTATATATATAAAACTTTTCTACTATCTTAAAATAGCTATTATATAATAGATTTAAAGTTATTCTATATAGTACTAAGAGCTATAAACTACTATACTTTACAATCTTTCTACTTTATAGCTTTATTTTAGAAATAGCTTTAAATACTTAAGTTCTTAGATATTTATTACTATTTCTTTATAGTTATAGCTTTTTCTATTTTCTACTTTTATATAAAGCTTCTAGAGAGTAATAAGATATATATATAACTTTTAAATATCTTTCTAAGTAGCTCTACGTCTCTAGAATTAGAGTATATAGAATATATACTTTTTTATTTCTTTTTCTTTATATAATCTAAGCTTATAGAGCTTTAAAGCTTTAAACTCTATAGCTTAGTTTTAATTACTAAAACTTTTAAAAAAAGATATACTACTATCTACTATAAAATAAAATATTTAGAAAATATATCTATATTATAATTATATACTATATTACTTAACTATATTATACTTATATTTCTATACTAGTATACTTAATAAAGTAATAAAGAATAAATATAGCTAGTTCTATTAGTAGTATACTAGTTACTATATATTATATTATTTCTAGTTATTTCTAGTTATAGTATAAACTAGAAAGTTATATAGTTAATTATATAAAAGTCTATAAACTAAAATAACTATATTACTAAAGTAATATATACTAAATTAATTAGCTTACTTTTAATAATTAGATCTTATTAAAGATATATACTACTATATACTATAAATAAAAGTATTTAGAATATATATCTAAATTATAATTATATACTATATTATTTAGCTATATTATTTCTATATTATAGAACTAGTATATCTAATAAATAATATTCTAAATTAATATTTAAATTATTTAGTAGTTCTAAAAGAGACTAGTTTAAAGTTTTTTAATATTTTTTAATATCTTTTAATATTATTTTACTATAAAGATAACTCTAAATTAGACTTAAGATACTAAATTAGCTTTTATACTTCTATTCTAAGTTACTATAGATTACTACTTATAGATATATATAGGCTTAAAAGTACTAATAATACTAAATAAGTGTAATTTACTTTACTATAGTATAATCTATGTATACTTGTTCTGTTACTTTTATCTCTTTTAATTCTAGTTTCTTCTTGCTTCCGCTCTCGTCTTGCATTTGCAACTACGTCCCGAATCCGCGTCTTCGCACCAAACCTAGAGGAATCCCGAACGACCGCGACGAAGCTTGCGCGAACGAAACCTGAATGTCCTCAAGCGACAAGCCCCGCGTCTCGCGCATACACGTTGCGAGCACGACGAGCGTCAAAAGCGCAATCGCACCGAAGAGGAAGTACGCGCCGTACGCCGACTTCGCGAGAAAGATTGGAGTCGCGAACGCAACGAGCCAATTCGCAAGCTGTTCGTGGAAGAGGTCAGCAAAGAACGGGCGACACCGATGCCAGCGAAGGCCGTGAAGGAAAAGGTAATGACGCGACTTACAAAGCTACCGCCCGTGGCCATCGAATTCGTCGTCGCGCGCGTCCGCGTGGGCTGGATCTCAGACGCATAGATCTTACCCACGATAGCCCACGTCGAGACGTATCCAATTGCGAAGACGAAGACCGAGACAATAACGACCCATCGCGCAGCTCCATCAGAATGCACGACGTTTGCGGCATACAGCGAGCCGATCAGAAGCATGGTGCCAGAGAGGATGACGCCGCCGCAGATGGCGGACGTGCGACGACCCCATTTGTCTGCGAGGAGGGTGGCGGGAATGCTGAAGGCGAGCATGAGGATGGCGGAGACGCCAGAGGCGAGGAACGAGGCTGTTTGCGATGGTATTCCTGCTTGCGCGAAGATGGTTGGGGCGTACTGCGAGATTTGATCAGCATGCAAAGGTGAGTTCACGTTGTTGGGGCACAACATACGTAGAGCACGCCGTCGATGCCGCTCAACTGAACGAATGACAGGATGAACACCGCGAGCCATGTCTGCGATCGATACTCCTTCTTGAAGATCAAGCGCAGGCCCTGCAGTATGTCGACTTGCTCCTCCGGGCTGGCGTTCTCCGTGGGGCGCAGGACGTCCTTCTCCGCCTCCGCGGCTTCAAAGTCCAGTTTTCTGAGCTCCTGCATCGCTCGACTTCTTTGCCCGTGCAAGATAAGCCAGCGGGGACTCTCGGGCAGGAAGAACGAGCCAGCAGCCCACATCGTGGCCAGTGCGGCTTGCAGTATGTAGGGAAGACGCCATGACATATTGCCATTGATGTGTAGACTCCCATAGCACGAGAAATAACCAACGCAAACCCCCAGCGCAGCGCCAAACTGCGGGAGCGAAACGAACTTACCGCGACTTCGACTCGGCGCAATCTCACAGATATACACACCGATGTTGGTGAGCGCGAAGCCCTGACCGATCCCCATCAATGCGCGGCCGACGAGGAAGAGACTGAGATGGAATGCAGCGCATTCGAGGACACAGCCAATGGTGCACAGGATTGCGCCGACGATGATGATGCGGAGGCGACCGAAGCGGTCGGCAAGGTGGCCGGCGACTGTTGCTGGGATGGCGCCGCAGAGCATGATTAGAGAGACGGTGAAGCCGCGCATAGTGGGTGACAGGTAGCCGAATGTGTGGGTGAAGGATGGCATCTCGGTGACGGCGCCGACGGAGCCTGTGTCGAATCTGGTGGCATGTTAGTGGGTTGGTTCGCGTCTGCGCTGGGCAAGATGCGCGATGTATGTGACGAGAGATGGAAGGCATTCATGACTTACCCATTTAGTACACCACCGAGGGCGACAAAGGTTGATGCGAGCGCGTAGCCTGGTATCTTGTTAGGGATGAGCTTCATTGCTGTCAACATTCCAGCGATAGACAGAGAGGTTCGAGTAGAAAGTGATTACTCTTCAGCGAAAGCCAGTGGAAAAACATGTACCAGATACTTCCCCGCATTCGGAGATAGCGAGACGTAGACCGCGATTGGTTGACGCGATAGTCATTCACCTGAGCAGTGTTGGAGTGAACGATGCGCGTAAGCAATGAAGTCGCAATGACGTAGGTGGCTCGCGCTGAACACCTCAAGCTCTTACTCATCACTGCGGCGTAGTCAGAGTTGATCGTCGAGAGTTCTTCAAGCAGCCTGAGTATGGTCTATGCGGAGTAGGTTTCTCGCGGATGTCCTGCTCCATCTGCGCACAACCACCAGTTCGTGTCGCAATGCTCGGAATAGAGTCACCGCAGTATTTGGAATGACCACCCGTTGTGCCGCATGTCAGCGCGAGCTCCAACCAATTGCCGCCGTTCAAAGCGATCTGAGATGCCGAAGAACATGCAGCACAACAGCAGAAAGAAGCAGTAAAGTAGATAGGCGTGAAACGTGTGTCTCCCTCCATCTCGCAGCAAGATCGACGACATCGAAGCCATTATTTTCAGAGCTATCTAAGGCTGCGTCAGCCCGTCAAAGAGGCCTACCTCTTGACCCAGTTCCCGCAGCAGCGTAGCCGCCCTCTCGCCATACAATCTCTCAATTACTTCCAAAGTGTCCAGCTCCAACAGCGTCCCATCAGTATCAAAGGAAACATCGCTGCGACTACCAGAACAGTCCAGCTTGAAGAGCGTTCTTGAACTGCTAAGAAATGGTCCATTACCCTCCGAGTTGCATTTCTCGTAGATTGACGCTGGATACGGGTCATGGGCATAAAGCTCCGACCCGTGAGCGTTGTTCTCGACAAAGACACGCGGACAGAGGTATGTTTCTAGTAGTACAGGCGAAGCTGAGGATGTAGCGTCTCGGATTCTTTTGAGAAGCTTTTGAGCGCGTGAATACACGCCGCGCTCCGCGCTGTCCTCGACACTAATCAACAAGTCTGGTTGTGTTGACTCATCCCCTAGAGCGTGCCGTACCACCTGGTACACATAGAACATTTGCCCGAGGGATTTGAAGTCCTTTGGATTTTCCGCGTCGGGCACAAACTGCATAAACCTTGTCCAGGCTGGTTCATGGACACCGAGATCGACGACGGCTTGTTGCACCGATGGAAGCGTAAGCATAATGAGCGACTTGCGGATGCACGAGAGTATTCGTTCACTCCCCGGTGTGACACTGATGGCGCATGGTTTGACGGACGGGTCTCTTCGCAGTAGCTCGACGTGGAGATAACCACAGAAGATATGCGAGATCTGCTGATGGTGCGTCTCAATGGCACAGAGCCAATTCAGAGCCTCAGCGAATCCACAACGACCAGACCGCAATAGATCGTCGATGGTCTGGTAGTAATGGAAACTGGGTATGTCCAAGCAAATCTGGGGTGGCTGGCAGGCTTTGTCTTCGCGATTATGACCAGTCCGCTCCGCCGCGGGTCGGGAGGCGATAGCAAGATCTGCAATGGCTGGAGCACTACGGGCAATGTACTCCAGCTCGTAGAGTGTAGCACCGTTGCACTGCCCGTTCTGGAAGTCGATGATCGGCATGTTTTTGGTGGCCGTGGTCATGACCTTGGACGAGAACAAACAGATTCCCGATAGAATAGTGATACTGCGCAAGCCCGAAGTCAAAAGACCTTGGATCGCAGCATTCGATGATGGGCCAGCGAAGTGCAGCCATTGCGTAGAGGACACGATGCTCGCCGGTGTCAGAGAAGTCGGAAAGTCGAACCTGGTCTCGACGAAGAAGGCGATTCTGTTTGTGGCCCATTCGTGATGCCCCCATGGATGACCTCCAACAATACCATGGGGCGAAACGGAAATCTTGCTTTTCTTGCTGCCCACAGAGCCGATCAATTGTTCAAATTTCCTGGCTGTTTCATGCCCTTTCCTGATTGCTCTCCTGTACCGGGGATGCCTGAGGATCTCGTCTCCACGGATGCCGTCGACTGGAGTTGAGATGTATCCGTAGATGTTCGTCGGAAAGCATCGCATTCTGGCTCCAGTGTCGTAGAAGCAAATCGTACATATGTCGTCGCTTGATGTTTCCAAGTTAGCAATCGGAAAGGTCATTGTTTGCAGTCGGGGTCCACGAAGTGTGCTTGGACTACAGAATTAGTGACTCTAGCTCTGTTCAGCTCACGTATATAACTACCCTCGATTTTCTCCGGCATCGACTCTATCCATCCTTCAGGAACGACCGTCCTCGAAACTGGGTCCAAATGATCCCCAGGACAGTCTAGTGTGCGAGACCTCCACAACCTCCCCTCCACCTCCCGAGGCGGTCAAACATGTGCTCGCTTTGAGAGGCCGAGAGATTGTGTAAGATATTGTGGATACGCGAAGGATTGCATCCTATAATGGAGTTCCCTGGTCGCTGTAGCAGACCGCGCCTCTATGCGAGGTAGGAACAGCTGGGGCAAAAGTCGCTGGCCGCCGCGTCGTCTCACTTCGCTCCCCGATGCGATACAATGAGTATCTTCCTTTTCGTGGAAGCAGAACGCGGCTCTTTGACGCGAATTGGGCGGATAGTGTGCGAGACCTCCACTACCCACCCATGGAATCTACTGACCGCCGCGTGCGGCATCATCTCACTTTGCTTCTCGATATGATGCGGTGAAGACGATCCCCCGAAATCGATCTTGCGGAAGCAAGATTCCGCGGGAGCAGCCAGCGGCGCGGGCGGGTAGGTACTAATGTTCGCTTTAGGAACGACTGCATTGAGGAGCAGAGCGCGATTGGATCACGGGAGTGGTAGCGATAGCCGTGTACCTGAGCAGTGTTAGGGTGAAGGATGCGCGTAAGTGCGGAACTCGCGATGACGTCAATCTCGCCCTTGCTTCAGAGCCAAATTGAGTCATGGCAATTGTAGCGGTAGCCATGTACCTCCGCAGTGTCAGACTGAAGGATGCGCGTAAGTACGGAAGTCGCGGTAATGTAGGTGGTCGCCGACCTTACCCTTGCTTGATGGCCAAAGAAGGTCACCCTTACTTACTGGCGAGGAAGGATCACGATGCGAATCGATAAGAGGAAAACTACTCCAGCCGATGTCGCGACCGATGCCACATCGGGAAGCATGACTGTCCATCGTTCACCGCTGGGATTACTGGATCCTGGACAAGGCAAATAATCTATAATAAGGATGTAAGCATCGCAGGATGAGTGGAGGATGGGAAAGGAAAGTGATCGGGAGACCCTGAGTAAGCAGCAAGCATACCACGTCGCCATGGTAATATAATTGGGTATCAATCTTCAGCTCGTATCTTCGTCTATCCAGTATCCAAACAAAAAGGAAATGTCCTCCTTTGCTCATGCGCTTCGTTAAGCATATCGACATCCAAAGTCTTTGGACAAAAAGAAATCCAAACGCCAGTGATGCAATCTATCGGAACCAAAAAGAACCAAGGAGATAGATGGTAAGAGATGTTTCCATATGTAAAGAGCCTTCTTATACACACGCGCTGTCCTGTTCTATGAAGCCTCAGCCAAGGCCTCACCAAGCGCATCCGCGTCGTAATCCTGGACCACGACCTTCGCCGGCGCATCGGGAACTTCATCAAAGAAGCCCCATATGGGTCCGTTCTGGTTCACGCCGCTCGGCCTCAGCTTGGGCTTATCCTTCTTCTTCGAGCCGTCCGCATTCGTGGTCGTGGTGCCTTCACTCGACTGCGTGTCCTGCGTGGACTGCGTTTCCTGGCTAAGGATCGAAGGCGCGCGGGTGGCCGTCGGCGAAGTGACGGGAGCAGGCGATGAGCCCCATTTGCCGAACACCCAACCTCCGACCTTCTTTGTGAGACCGGGGCCGCTGGAGGGCTGGGGACCGTCGCTCTTCCGGGGTCCGCGTTTCTGGTTCGCGATGCTAGAGTAGAGGAAGTCGCGGTTGGCCATGCTGCTCTGGGATGTCTTGTTCGAAAGCGTGCCGTGCGCGGTGGCGGTCCATGGTGTGAGTTCGGGGCCGACGGAGCCAGAACTGCCGGGCGTTGCGAATCGCGCTGCATTAGAGTATAGGAGTTGTGAGGGTCGTGACTGCAGTGTGTGGATGTCCATGCCGGAGACCGAGATGAGGGATTCGTGGGAGGCGTGGCGGCGTAATCCGGGTCGCATGGCGGTCATGGGCGAAACGAGGTCGTCGGGCTCGAATTCGCCGTTGGACGTCATCAGCGATGGCTCGGCGGTCGATAGCGAGGAGTCTTCGCTTTCCTCAGGGATAGCAGCCTGTGGCTCCGGCTGGAGGTAGGGCGAGAGCGTAAAGCTGGCATCCGAGAAGGAGTTGGCGGGGCTGACAGCTGATATGACGGCCGTCGCAGGACTGCTCTTAGCAGTGAGGGCAATCGGCGTGCTCGAGCTGCGCATTGTCGAGAGGCTTGGTGGCATGAGGCCGCGAGACTTGCGTCGCAGATGCTTGTTTCCGCCCTTCGCGACCTCAAGAGTGCCAGACGACCTTCGCAGCATGGGCGGCAACGCATCCGGATCGGAGCTGTAGTCGTTCGATTTGACGGGCCCGAACATGGGAGACTGGAAGTCGATGGAATCGGGAGGGCTGGTGGGCCGGGAAGAGTCATAGGCCTCACTGAAGACACGGTCGTACATGGAGCCACGGTGTGAGTCCGAGACGGGTGACCCTGCGAAAGAGCCCGGCGTGAGGGTCGATGCCTGAGACCATCTGTGCGAGTTAGGCACAGTGACCGCGGTGTGTTCCAGTATTGTAGCCGTGGATGAGCGATCGAGGGTTGCAGGCGGATCGAAGTGCGTCGGAGTGAGGGAGAAGCGCTTCTTCTTGGGCCGTCGCTGCGCCGGTGGCTTAGGCACATTTCTGGTGACCTTCGGACCGTGGTAATGGTGATGTATGTGCAGTTCCTGCTGTAGCGAAGCTTCCTGTTCCATTTCCAGTTCCTTCTGCAGCGACGGACTCGTGACGTCCTCATCGGGGCGGGGTGACGTCGAGACAGGCTGGTGAACCTTGAGTTGGTCTCGCAGGCGTTCGACCTCCTCGTTGGAGTTGCCCAGTAGCTCGCGCAGTTCCAGTATGCCGTGTTGCAGGTTCGCGTTATCGAGTAGAATGTCCTTAACAAAGTGGGAGACGACGTTGGGCCCGCCCTTGTCAGTCCCAGCTTTGGCCTTGAGTCTGCCGGCAGCGGTGTGGAGTTCGCCCTCGACGACCATCCTCCGCTCCATGCGGGCCACGACCTCCATGTGTCGCTGACGCTCGGCGCGGGACTCCTTCTCGATGCGGTCGATCTGGTCCTGGAGATCTCCTATAGTCCGCTCGGCCACCTTCCACCGCTGTATGGCGGTGCGCTCGTCGACGATCTTGGCGTCCAGGCTGCTCTGAATCTGCGACTGCTCTCGCTCGAGGTCGATCAGCTGGCGCTCGAGCAGCTGCGTGCGTGCGGCCAGGGAGCTGAGGCGGTCGATCTCGTCTTCGGTGGAGCGCAGCGTGTCTTCCAGCGCGCGGATGTGGGCGTCTGACTCGGCGACGGCGTTGTTGAGCTGCTCGAGCTGGTCGAGAAGGTCGCGGTTCGCCTTGATGGTCTGCGCATTCTTGGCTTCGAGCTCGATCTTGTCCTTTTCGAGCCCTTCGATGGTGTTGATCATCTCTTTCCGCTCGCGCTCCGAGTCGGCGACGTAGGCCTCATGGCGGACGAGCAGGGCCTGCAGGGCAAAGGTTAGCGGCATGCGCGGTAGTAAGAGCCGACATGCGGGAGTGAGCGACGTACCTGGCCCAGCTGTGCAGCCTTGGAGACATCCCTCTCCAATCCTTCTAAGAGTCTTCCGTTGTGGGCGAGGAAAGCGCAGTCATGGCTCCCACAACAGCAGCGAGGCCCTGGCATGGCACCAAGGCCGGCCGAGTCCATGTGTACGACCCCTCCGTGCGCGTAAACAAGTCGTGCAGAGCCGGCGGGAGCAGCGTGGTGAGTTAAAAATGCGTCGCAGAGTGGTGGATGGTCTCGCTCATGCTCGAATTAATTATGAGCGGGTAGGAGCTACATAGGAGGGAGAGAGCGGTGGCAGGAAAAGCAAGCGTCGAGGGAGTGAAGCGTCGTGGTGGTCACTAGTCGGGCGCGTCGAGGGCTGATTTGTTGTTCCTGACTATGCCGGCAGGCGGACCACGCTCCACTCAACCACCTGTCCCTGCCAGCTCACACTCCCCGCCCGCAAGCCTGCCACCGCCTTTTCCACCACCCCATTCCCTGTTTCTCCCACACATACACCTCACTCGGATCCGCACGCACATGTGACATTACACTCTGCGCACATCCTTCACTCTTTCCCCAGGCATCGTGAACGGATTTCCCTCACCAGGCCGTCGACGTCAACGGCGCTCGGACGCACCGTTTTCGATACCCCTGCGCAAATTCTAAGATTGCACATGCGAACGCCAATATCTCGCAATCTTGTGCCCAAAACAAACACGACTGTCTTGGCGGCTGCCTCGCGATGACTTCGCGCTGACTTGGACAAGCTCAGGTGTGCGTAGGCGAAGATGAGTAGGCCAACAAGGTGAGTATATAGGTTGCATACTGGTGAGTCTCAGGTAGGTCGCGAATCTTCATATCGAGTCAACTCTTTCACCTTATCAACCCCGCGTCACGTGAACCACTCCAGCTTGTACCCCAGGATCCAATGGCTCAACGAATTATGTCAAAGACTACGACGATGCGCATCGCTTCTCCGATACAGTGCTCTGCTCATCTGCATTATACACCGTCAGCCGCAGTCACCAACACCCAACGTCGCCTTCACGTCTCCGTAACTTCCCTCAAAGACCACGTCCCTTCAACACCGAAACCAGACCACCAAGCCGAGG